CATCTATATGAAATTATAGAGCCTTTTTGTATAGAAGATCTTTTGAAGCTTTGGAAGTGCTTCTATGAAATTAATAACAACAGGATATTTTCTATATACAGAAGACCTATTGAAGGTATTATGGGCGTTGAAACTCTATTATGAATTGAGCTTAAATAGGATTGAACGGCCCAGACATAGTTATATCTGCCGAAATTATACAGGGGCGATATATTAAAATTTATCTTTTCTTCAAAGAATTCAAAAGTAATTACCATTGATACAAAATTTCATTAATAATGAACTTTGATTTGCCGCAGACATTAGGACGGACATCCACAAATCACTCCAGAAAAACAATAAAAAAATAAAATTTTCTAATTAGATCAGGGTCAGACAAAGAGCCTTTTTTAACTCTTTTTCACACATATTACTCTCAAATAGAGTGAGAAATATGATTTTTCCGAAATTTTTTAATTTAGTTTTTGGTACAATTAAAACTTTTTGTAAACAGAAAAAAAAGTAATGAATATTTTAACAATTTCATTCACTGTTTATTTTTTCCATATTGCACCTCGCTTAGAAAACAAGTAATCATGAGAATGTCACTATTCTTTCAAAAAATGTAAACATTTCATTAATATCAAAACTATTTTCATATTTCGCTCTACTTTATAGCAGTAAAGTAGAGCGCTAATTTTTTCGGATATCTCTCCCTTGAGAGAAGCAAATGTATTCCTCCTCAGAAAAAACCACCATTATTTATTGTTCGGCTGTATTTTTTTGGTTTTGGTATCGTCCTATGTCTCTCTCCCCACTTGATGGTTGTTTGCAGTGTTAGTGTTGGAAATTTAAAAAAAGGTTTCGAAAAAAGTAGTTCCCTTGGAAAAAAGTCGCACAGAAAAGTAAATTTGTCAATAAAACTGATCCGAGAATATGTCAGATACCCTTGGAACTCAAACACGACGTAGACGAATCCAAATTAGTTCGAATTTACAGGAAAATTTGTACAAACATTCGTTTCAAACAGAGTCACAGGGCATAAAAAATGTTGCAAATTGCGACTTTAGTGCCACAACGGTAGCCCTGGTTGTTAGTTTTTCAACCGTTTGTTTGTCTAATGTTTCTCTTGTTTACAACCGTGGTCTCTCCATTCACTCGATTGTGGCAAGTTATACATTCCATGTTTTTTTTTATACTCTGACACTGTTACCGACCTCTGCATTGGTGTTATAAAATTCCAGATGTATTTTCCAAATTATTTCGATATAAATGTCAACACACAATATAACAAATAAGTGTTGGTACGAGCTCTATATAGACCAATGACATCTATTTTGAGTATCTCACTTCGAAATTGGTAAATGGTTGTTTTTGCATCTATTCTTTTTAATCTATCATTCCATTTGTAATACTTCGAAATATTCGGGGACACTATAAAGTACGTATGCATTTTTTAGGAGGTTTGCTACCCAAAAAATAGGCCCCTGACTTACCAAAGCCCCCAGATGTTCCAGTTTGAATTTATAAAGTTTTCGATTTATTTAAGGGTAATTTAAGGATTTATATTATGGTTTATAGTCTTATTTTGAAATTGGTGTGATTATTAGGAGTTATTTCTTAATAAGGTTAATGGTATTTTCATGGTCTTAGACACAGCCCAAGGTCATATATTTCAGTACTTTGGTTTCTTAACCGATGAAAAACCTCCTAACAGGCAATGTAAGTCCATGTTTTGACATAACTCCCATATAAGGGTTCAGACTAATATATGTTGAAGCTTCTCGACGAATTTTTATATCCTCCTCATGTTTCTTTGGATCAAATACGTTTTAGACAATTTGGAATCGATTTCCAAATGTCCGTCCGTCTGGATAGTGCGCAATGTAACTCTCGAAGGGGGTACCGATTTCATTCAAAATTTGCACATCGTAATATTTATACCAAACTAATATTTCTTTCCGAGTGTTATGCTAGAACCCTATTTTCCAATAATGGTTCCGACCGATTTTTGATATTTGTTTATCATAAGATGAAAACCTCATACCACACAGGATGGAGCCTTGGCCAAACGGAATGAGATAGACCCATTTCTTAAACGGATGGTGACTGGAGATGAGAAATGGATCACATACGATAACCTTGTGTGAAAACGATCGTGGTCAAAGAGCGGTGAATCACCTCAAACGGTGGCCAAACCAGGACTAACGGCCAGGAAGGTTCTGCTATGCATTTGGTGGGACTGGAGGGGGATTATTTATTATGAGTTGCTTCCATATGACCAAACGCTAAATACTGATATCTACTGTCAACAACAGGAGAGGTATTTTGCTCCACACGTGACTGGCTAGACAACAGTGACTCACCAGAAACTTTGGGAGCTTGGTTAGAAAATTTGTATGCATCCGCCATATAGTCCAATCGAATATCATCTTTTTCTTGCATTATAACATTTTTTTAATGATAACAAATTATCGAGGTGGATTGTGAAAATCGACTACTAGAGTTTTTTGCAAACAGAGACTTCTATGAGAGAGGCATTATGAAGTTACCTTTAAAATGGCCAAAATCGGACATTCCAAAGCATGTTAAATAAAGTCATATAGTTCATATAAAAATAATGAATGTGCTTTTTCCCAACCTAATATTATTTTGTCTATTTTTGAGGGACAGAAGATATCATCACGTGAAAATCTTTAGTTCAAATACTTCCAAAATATTTGGTAATTTTGGTTTCTCCAAGAATAGCAAATATTCCTACTGAAAGTAATAAAAATTGGTTGGGGAAGCCTTCATATAACAGCACTTCCAAAAAAGGTTCGTTTTGGAGAATTTGGGCATATTTTCCGAACGAATTGGCTGTAATGTAGTGTTTTTTTCCCATAGAGTACCAAAAATATTGGTCCTCTTTTTAGGTTACCCAATACAACGACCCTATTTTGATATTTTGGTCGAGTTTTGTAATTAACTTGATTGTAATTTAGAATTATGGATTATCAGTTGATTTTTGGGTTCGATATTTTAGTTTTTATTGGGTGGTAAATCTATCTACCAAAAATGTACTATGACAAATCCCCTTATAAAAGATTCTATAAATATAAGTTATTTCGAATGTCCTCAGTATGGTTGAGAGTATTCGGCTGTTTTTTATAAATATTTTAAACCCCTGTTGGTAAATAAAAAACATTGTCTTGGCAGAGCCTAGTTCAGCTTTTTTTTTAATCGTGTCGCTATCCATGGTTATTGTTTACAATATAAATATTATCCATTATAAAAATGATACAGTTTACAAATAATTATTAGTTTTTCTAAATACTACTTCTAGAAATTATCCAACATTTTATAAATACCAATCCCTACACTATTACAATTTCCATACAAATTAATTATTTCAATGTAAACCTAACACACAATTTATACTTTATATATCTATTACCCCAATACACCCACATATTAGTAATATAACCTAAGGCCGCCTAGTAAATCCATCATTGAGGCCTAATTTATTTCTTCTTAACATTATTCGTAGTTAACAAAAATTGCCCGAACGCACGAAAATGCCAAACTCATCCTTTCGAAAGTCACAAACATTTCATGTGTCACCCGGACGATTTACTATCTTTATTTGTACGAACGAAGTACCCAGATAGTCGTCTCGTTTCTGTTGTCATAACATCACATAATTCAGTCTTAATGTCTCTACTTGAATGTTTTTCATGTGCGTGTTATATAGTTAGTATAGTATTCATCTCAACGATTGTCTATCTGCCTGTCGCTGCGTTTGCTCGTTCGGACTGTCTGCTGCCGATGCCAGGGAACATGAAGAGATTATATGCTGTCATATTTATTATGAATACACGCAACTAAATCTTAAGAGGAGAAGACGAATATGTCTAAAGTATATGTGTCTGTCCGTTCAACTGTCTGTCTGCCACATATAGCTAAGAGAGATGCCCCCACACTTCGATGTCAGCCACACTTATAAACACACACAAACACACTTACTTGTACTTATACATGTATGCTTCACATTCTCTTAAAGATTGCTCCTTTTTGTAGATAGTGTGCTACGTGGGTTCCCTTGGAAATATTGTGTGTGGATGTGTGTGTGTGTGCAGGTTCTTTTATAAGAAGAACAAAAGTGAGATTTAAGAACTTTTCATTTAAGTTTAATATGATGACTTGATGGGTGTCTTATCCCTGGAGAGGTGGGAGGGAGTGGGGATAAGGACTGCTGTTATCTGGTGTTTTGTTGGTAATGAATACTAGGAATGGAAGAAGATAATGGCATTAGCAGCAACGATGACAACGATGTTCAATTACCATCATTATGTTGTCACATTATCCCACTAATAGACAATATCGATGGAAATGACAACAACAACAAAAAACAACAGAACAGCAGTAAAAGTGACGCCTACCAAGGAAATGTGTTGTAGGAGAAAAAAAATACAAAAAAGAAAAAAACAACATCTTTATCAGTAGCAAAGAAACGTTGATTATGATTTTTGTCATGGTTTCAGCAAGTCAAGTGTGACAAATTTAGCAATTTTGGTGGAAGATTTTTTTCTAAATCTTCATAACAAAACACAAATTAAAATTTCCCTTCTGTTTAAATTTAAAATTTTAATCTCAAAATTTGCATTCCCTAGTGCTCTGAAAATTTTCTCCCAAAAATAAAAATTATGCATTATATACTCTTTGTTGTGCTGCTGCGCCACCATATTACCACTTACAATGTCATTGCACTTCGACACCAGACAGAGATAGTGAAAAAAAAACAAAAAACTTTCCCGGCATTTTGTGGCATAATATATGAATAAATAAAAAACTAGGGGCTTCTGCGTCAGCCAGCTCAGCTTGGCAATTTACCCCTTGTGAAAATGTAAATTTTTTAATATTTAAGCGGAAGTTATGCTAAATAGAAAATATGTAATATTGTTACAAATTTTAAAATATGCTGCACAAAATTAAATATTTTTTAAATTGCAAATTCTAAAATATATTTCTTATTTTTTTCTAGGTCCTCCTGGGCCACCAGGTCCACCTGGCAAGCGGGGGAAACGTGGCAAAAAAGGTGATCCAGGCGAGAAAGGAGAACCGGTAAGTAACAGATTGCTCATAATTAATATTAAGCCTCTGTGGCCCAATGTTGCCCACAGGCAACAAAATGTTTTAGAGCTTATATTTAAAATGCAGCTAGTAGATATATATTATTTGAATTTCATATGTTAAGACCAAATTATCAAAAGAAAAATCAAAAAATTCAAAATGTTGGTAAAGTTATGAGCCTTTCAATATAGAGAAGAGGGTAAATTTGTGTACAGTACTAATTTGTGTATACAGTCCAAATTATTTAAATCGCTTCGTATTCAAATTGTACGAATTCTGCCATCAGAATTATTTTTGAATCTTGTTAAAATTAATACAGAGAATAATTTAAAATGATTTTTCTGTCGATTTTGCATTTAGTTTTCCTGATATTGGACTTTAAGTTTTCTGAAAGAATGTACTGTATCTCCCTAATGCAAGGATGTAGCGATGTCAAATTTTGTGCATATCCTATTTAGGATAGTTGCATTAAATCTGTTAAATGAAATTTGTTCTAAGATTGCGGAAAAAAATTCGGGGCTCAAAGGGTTAATAAACATATACTTATAATATGATTTTATTTAACCAAGGGGAAAGCCAAATGGCAGGGTGTGTTTTGATTTTGCAATTTTATTTGGTAACACCTCGACATATGTCGATTTAGTCATGTCCGTTTGTTGAAATCTTGATAGAGTTTGCAATATTTATGATAGTCTCTTTTGGAAATTTTGTACATGCATTGCTACAGTTCCTAGGATATACTGATATTGAAAAATAAATATGTAGCTCCACCTTTTGATATAACCCCCATATAAATGTAGCACCGAATATTCTATATTTTGGCCGTCTGTTATTAAATCAGTTGTAATTCGGTATTATGGGTTATCATGGGATATCGAATCTTCCTAACAAAAATGATCAATATTGGTTTCAAAGTACCACCCTTATTTTATTTGGGTATTTTGGGAAGATTTCAAAAAAATTGACTGTAATTTTATATTTTTTCTAATTTCATAGAAAATCTCACTAGCAAAAATTAACAATACCTGCCATAGTTTCAGGGTATACCTCAAAATTCCGAAAATTGCGAATAACGCTAGTATTAGTTATTCATATTGGATGGCAAATCTTGTTATTACAAATATCGGTTCAGTTTTTTCTATAGCCCTCATAGTACATAACTTTTCAGTACAGTTTTGCCCCAACTGGCAACGCCATAACTTTTGACAGAGATGTCACATCGCTTAATGACATACCGCATTTGAAGCGTCAGTCCAAGCAGATTTTTACCATGAACCAATACACCAATACCAATACACATACACCGATGAAGCCCATTTCACATTGAATGGGACCGTAAATAAGCAAAATTGCCGTTTTTACGCCACTGAAAATCCTCAGGAGATTCAAGAAGTGCTGTTACCATCAATCAGGAGCGTTATCGCCACATGATGACCAATTTTGTGATGTCAATTATTCGTCGAAAGCGTATGAGGCAGTTCTCGTTTCAACAAGACGGCGCTCCACCGCACACAAGTCGCATAACAATCGATTTTCTGAAGAATTTGTTTCCGGGCCGTTTGATGCCGAATTGGTGATTTGGACTGGCCACCGCGTTCGCCCGATTTGACGCCGCCTGACTTCTTTTTGTGGGGATATTTAAAGTCAAAGGTTTACGTTGTCAAGCCAAGGACCGTAGAAGAGCTCAAGGACAACATTCGTGAAGAAATAGCCGCTATTCCGGCCGAAATGTGGGCAAAAACGATGGAAAATGCAGCAAAAAGGGCACAATACGTCATCAACGCCAGAGGCGGCCATTTGAGAGATATCATATTCAAAAATTGATGTAAACAAATCTACTTGCCTCTATTTTTTGACATACCCCCAATATAACGATCTCGGCCTTTTTCAATACATCAAAAGTTTTTTTTATGTTCACGTAAGGAGGCTTCCAATACATGCAATTAAAAATTACACAGATATCGATCAAATCAGTTTCAGACAATTTGGAGTGGATTTACAAATGCCCGCCGTCTGTTTGGTCGTCTGGTGCGCACGATAATTCTCGAAGGGAGTAACCGATATCCGATTACTGATCGCCCTTTTTTTAACAACATCATTGGTCAAGTTTCGATGTAGGGCGGTCACTATAGTTTGGTAAGGCACAATTTGTTTACATGAAGTCAGTGGAGCTCTCATACATTGGTCCAATCAATCTTTTTGACAGACAAATCGTAGTATTGATGGGACATCCGGCACACAGCTCTGACTTGGCATTCAATGACTTATATTTATTCCCTCACATATGAAGAAATTTACACTGTCAACGATTTTCATCATCAAAAGAAGAGGTCATAGACCATGTTTCAGAGGTGTATACAACGGAGTGGAAAATGTACTGCGAAAAAAATTGTGTGAAAAATTATACCGGTAACCCCCATAGCAATATCAAAACATTGAGTAGGGGATAATACTAAATAGGAATCCAACCTGCTGGCAAAAAAAATCAATTAATTTTATTATTTTTTATACCCTTCACCACACCGTGGTACAGGGTATTATGTCTTTGTGCATATGTTTGTAACAGGCAAAAGGAAACGACATAGACACATGGTTCCTTTTGAGAATATGCATAGAATCATTTTTTAAGTCGATTTATGCATGTCCGTCCGTCCGCCCGTCCGTCCATGTATTTGGCAGAGCGTAATGAATATAGTCTAGAATGATGTCTGCCAAGTTTCGTGAAAATCGGTTCAGATTTAGATATAGCTCCCATATATATTTCGTCCGATTTAAGATAAATTGTGCACCAAAGTCCCTATAAATCTTTTGATTTGAACGAAATTTGGCATAGCGTACTAAATTAAATCTAGAATGATATGTACAAAGTTTCGTGAAAATCGGTTCAGATTTAGATATAGCTCTCATATATATTTTCATGCGATTTTAAGTATTTGGTGCATCAAAGCCCCTATATATCTTTCGATTTGCACGAAATTTGGCATAGCGTACTGAATTGCGTCTACAATAATGTGCGCTAAGTTTCATGAAAATTGGTTCAGATTTAGATATAGCTCCCAAATATAGTTTCGCCCGATTTTAGGTAATTGGTGCACCAAAGTCCCTGAAAATCTTTTCATTTGCACGAATTTTGGCATAAATCTAGAACGTTGTGTGCAAAGATTCGTGAAAATCGGTTCAGATTTAGATATAGATCCCATATATATTTTCATCCAGGTTTAGTTAATTGGTGCACCAAAGTCTCTGAAAATCATTCGATTTGCTAGCTATATCTAAATCTGAAAATCGGTTCAGATTTAGACATAGCTCCCATATATATTTTCGTCCGATTTTATGTAATTGGTGCACCAAAGCCCCTATATATCTTTCGATTTGCACGAATTTTGGTATAGGGAACTGAATTAAGTCTAGAATGATGCTGCTAAGTTTCGTGAAAAGATCCATAGCTAGGCCGATTGACACAACGTACTGAAGTAATATAAATTAGTCTCTGGCAAGTTTCCCTGAAATCGGTACAGATATAGATATATAAAAAAAGGGTGGTCTGTTAGGATACATATGTAGAATATACACAAAGTGGTGAAGGGTATCATATAGTCGGCCCAGCCCGACTTTACTACTTTCCTTACTGGTTTTATTTTTAATCCATTTTTACCATTCCACTGTTTTAAAACATTTAATTTAATTTATAAAATAAATTTGTTTTTATCTTTTTAGGGTATGAATGGCATCAATGGCGAAAAAGGTGCCCCAGGCAGACCGGGTGAAAAGGGCTCCAAAGGAGATGTCGGTCATCCGGGTATTGATGTTTTCCAAACAGTCAAGGTAAGTTTCTCGTGTTCCACATTTACATTTCTACCATGACAACTAATTTCTATATGTGTGATTCTAACAATAAATGTTTTTCCTTCTCCCCATCCTTATTACGATAAAAAAAAAAAACAAATTTAGGGCCTTAAACGATCTGTAACAACGTTACATGGTGGTACTTTAGGCTATGCGGAAATTGTTGCAGTCAAGGTATTTGTTTTTAAATGAAATTTTTTCGAAACACTTTAAAGAAAGTGTATATTTTGGTGTCTTGTAGTTGAATTTGTTTATGTTTTTAAGTAGAAATTTTGGTCGTTCGATTTCTCTTCTTCGCAACTGAATTTTATTTTATTTTTTCGAAAGAAATTTTTTTTTGTAGAATTTTACGTTTTAACATAATTGAGGTAAGATAATAAATAACATGGTTTATCTACACTACACAATTTTTACTTTATTATGTAATTTCCTTTTGAGTTTTTTATTTTCTTTGAATAAAACTCTTCAATTCTTACTCTAAATTCTTATTTGATTATTTTTGAGCTAACTCTCTAAATTTTACTTTCAATGACAAAAGTCTTTTGACAATTATCAAAAAATTTCATCCAAAAACGAAATAAATATGTTTCAGACATAGCTTGATTTTTTATGTATATGAGACATGTTTAATAGAATCTTCTTGTAGGCCCCTTATTCTTGAATTTCATAAATAATTCTCCGAAAAATAGCTTTTTCCAAACAATTAAAAAGTATAGGCAAATATGTTCGATTTCCTCAATTTTTACATTTAAAACCTTGTCATTAAATCCTAGCCAAATGTTAGATTAAAAACTTTTGGATACCTTTTATAAAAAAATATTCATTTTTTCTTTAACATTTCTCCTTCAAAACAATCACCTTTTCCTTAAACAAATGTGAAAAACTTTTTGTAATTTTCTCCCCGAAGATTAGCTCCCAATTAAATTGTGTATTATTTTGGAAGTAAATTAAATAAGCAAACTGAAATTACCAAATAATTACCTTTATTATATTTGTTCAAATGAATGTTAAAATAATTTGTCTTCCTTCTCAAAAAAAAGAAAGAAAAAAAAACAATTGAAAAACTTTTTTTTGTTGCCTTGGGCCTGAAGAGTTTACACTTCACAACTAAATACTCTGTGGAGTATCTGAAGCCTAATAGCTCCCACCGGAAAATGTTAAAAGTCCGTTATTAAAATAAAGTCTAAAAAAGTTTAGAAAAAAATATTTCACAAAGAAAATTATTTAACTTGGACCAAAGGCACCACAAAACATGTTGGTCCAAAAAAAATAAACACCGGGTGTTATGAGCAAGTCGGTGTGTTACCCCACAGCAACACTTCATTCATTCAGTCATGCAGTTCAGGCTCAAAAGAAAACATACTCAGACGCACACCAAAGAACACAACAAAAACTAAATAAAATAGCCAACAACTTTTTGGTAATTTTATTACTTTCTCTCTGTTGCTGTTTTTTTTTTTTTTTTTTTTTTTTTGAGGTTTCTCTTTGATATTCTTTTACTTTTTTGTATCTTCAAAAAATACGCAAAGTTTATAATAATTTTTTATTACTAATAGAAAGCAACAACGTGTTAAAGAAACATTAACTTTTCTCCCCCCAAGAAAGCAAACACACACACACCCACACCCTGAATACTAGAAAAACAATGTGGTTGTTATAAACAAAAACCAAACATTTGTCCATAACACAAAAAAATAAAAAATAGAAACAACAAAGTAATTTTGTGGTCAAAATTTATGGCCAAGAATTGAGGGACCAAACAAAGGGGTAGACCTAAAGGGAAGTTGTTTTTAGTCTTCTTCCTTATTTTTGCTCTTCTCGTCTTCTCATTGTTGATAATGTTAAAATAATGAAAATTTTATATTGCATTAAATTGAAAAATACAAATGATGTGCCAAAATTAATTTAATTTAGAGAAACCAAAAAGGAAAATGAGGGAACCGAAGAGAAGTGGAATTTTATAAAAGGGAGTTGAAACTGCAATATTAAAAAAAGTAATAAAAATGGGACCAATATACAGTTGGGGCCAAAACATATGCAACTGATATTGATTATGATCAAGTTGACCCATTTTTTAACTTCAAATAAAGGAATTACTACTTATTTCCACATAGTAAATTTCAGTTGCATATGTTTAGACCACCACTCTATATACCCAAGTGATAAGTTATAAATTAAACACCTATAGAACATCGATTATTTATAACAAAATAAATATGGAAGGGATTTATGTTAAAATGACTTCAAGAAATGGTGATTAATAGAATTAAATTATTTATAGAAGACCTATACCGGACCGTTTTTAAATATGCCACATTTAGAATGCCTCATTGGAGACTTTAAAAAACACCTGTTTTTGGAGGACATGATTAGAAAATACTTAGAAGACTTTCAGAATGGCTATTCTATGGAAACATGAAGTTGTTTCGTCAATACTCTTAAGGACGTTTGTTATAGAAGACCTTCAGAAGGTCCTTAGAGTTGTTTAGAAGATGTGCTTCTTAGAAGATAATTCCCTATATTTTTAATAGAATAAAAGACCCTTTAATTAATTTATTTAATGAATACAGTATAAGGTAATTTGTTATATTTAAGGTCCTCAGAATATCTATATGTAACAGCCTTCTTCTTTTAGAAGACAAATCTTCAGAAGGACTTTAAAAGATCTGTTTTTAGAGGAGGTAGTTAGAAGAGACTTAGAAAGTACTTAAACGATCTTGAGATGACTTTAAGAAGGTATATTTTATAAAAAAATATGTGAGATTTTATTTCTTTAAGACCTCAAAGGAGTTTTATTATGGAAGACCTTCAGAATATATTTAACGAGTTTATATCTATAGAAACTCTTACCCCGTACATGTTGGTATTGTGGAGAGTTTTGGGCAAGTTCTTCAGGCATGGAGGCTGTTATTCGATATTTCGGGATACATTGGGTTATCAAAACACCGCAGTGTTCGTCGGAGACATCATAAATTATGAATCACTCATTTTCTGCAAAGAGGCATAAATAAAAGAACTTAAAGTCTCATATAGTGAACAATTTGGTATCTGTAACATACAAACCAGTGACCGGAGCAGTACCTAAACAACCTCCACGATAATCTAACTTTCTGCTGTTCTTTATTATGAGCTTGTGCAATATTTCGCTATATTTGCACCCTCTTCCTTACACTGACATATTTTCCGTTTTAGTAATATTCAGTACAGACCTTCTAATGTCCAGATTTCTGTTGTGATGTTCGACTTATAATTGTAGCCCAAAGATCGACTCGAATACGTAAGCACCTGTAAATTTAAGTGTAACTCCCACATCCGAGTACATACGACAATATAATTGGTATCAATTTAAATGGGACGGGCACCCATCTATTGATCTACTCGGCTAGTCGAGATATGATCTGTATACTTAAAGGTGGGTGTAGGACCAATGTTTCGCGGTGTTACAAACTCTTGGGGTGCACTAACCTATAATACCCTGACAACATAGTTTTATAGGGTATAATCACGTCTTTATTTATGTGGGTCCAGCAGCAAACGAGGAATGCAGAATAAAATTATATGTAGATTTACCCATCTCCATATATCTGTGAATCACGATGGAGATCGCAATATAAAAGATAGAGCTTTGAAATTTTGCTCTGACTCCTAGGATGTTTGGTATTTCAAATGGGACATTTTGGTATAGCTTCATATAACGATAAAGCACAATTTTCGGTATTCAGAAGGCACAGATTTTTGGAGGCTGGCATATTCTTCGTATAAAGACCCTGCCAAATTTTCTTTATTTTCAGGGATCTAGCCGCATTTTTCAGCCGAAAAGGCTGTAATTTGACATTTCGGAGTTTTGGCACCAATTTTCAACGGAAAACACCATACCAGGTTTATGGAGCTCGGGGTTTTGGAGGCTGAATATAATCACACAGTCCCCATACATAGGTCCCGCCCAATTTTCGGTATTTTGAGTGTTTCAGCAGAATTTTTCAATTAAATAGGCTTTACTTTGATATTTTGGATTTTTCAAGACTGGTATAAATCTGTACAGAAAATGATTCCTATAAGTAAAAGTATTGAATTTTAAATTTACGGTATTCCAGGTTCTTTGTCAATAATATACTGCTCCCCAGAAAATGTTCAATGTAGGTCAATGTTTGTACATACATACAAGGTCCTAAATTTCCGAGTCTAGCTTTCCAACCTCAGTGTCAGTGTTTACATTTTTAATATTCATAGTTATTTTTAAATATTTTGCTCAAATTGTTTAGCTTGAGGTCAGAGGAAAATAAAAAAAAATGGTTTTAATTGAAATGAATTTGATTTCTCCAATATTTCGATTCTATGATTATTATCAGAGTGTGTCTTTAAAAAAGGTAATAGAAATTCCAATATCCATTAAAAAAATGTGGCTTAATATTCGAATAAATAAAAAATAAAATTTCGATACATAAATATAAGGAGTTTATTATTTCTTCATATCTCTACATCAACAAAAATTCCTACCCAAGTTTAAAACCTATCCTTACCTCGTCTATTCCTTATCTTCCTTATCTCTCCTTCAATTTTATTTAATATTAAATTTATTTTTATTCTATTTTCTTTTCTTAAATTATTTTATCGCTATAAATTTTTTTGTTTTTCTTTTGTCTGTTTTTATGTTTGTTGATAATTATAATTTCTGTTGGGGTACAATTGGCATATCAATAACACAACACTTAATTAACACTCTTAACAACAAACCAACAAAAAAGGGTTTACAAGAAGCCGGTGTTAATGTTTCAACGGCAACTGTAATACAATTGAAGGTAAGTTGATGTAGATTACAATTAGAAAGAGATATATGGGCAGTTGAAGAAATGGATATAAGGACTATTCATAATTATATAAATAATTTTTTATATGCAAATAAAATCGGGAATATAGATAACACTGTGCAGCGCTCAAATCCCTTACCAATTGAGTTTTAATTTGTTCGATTTTGGGTGGATTTTAAATTAATACGTAGTCGAATCCAATCCAAACGGGGTTTTTAGAAGAGTTTTTTTATAGATCTTATTAAAGGTTTGAAACTCCACTCAAATCAAATTTAAGCCAGGTTCAAGCCAAAACCTTAGCTAATAATTCAAACCCCAGCTAGGGGTTTTCTTCTACCATCGTAGGTTTTCCGATATTGGCGGTCCCGATTGATTCAAGACTTGCATGTTGAAAAATGTGTCACAGTATAATTTTTACACTGATTTATTTCATATATTTAAATATTAGAGATGTCTGAATAAAAAAAAAATACATTCGGACTTCCATAAATCCATGTTCCTCATATGTACACCTTCTACAATGATTTGATTAATATATTTATATATGAGAGATGCTCCAACAAAATTGTAGTCGAACTTGTCAATCATGTCATCAATTATACTTAGCTTATATCCTTTTTCAACTGTTATATCTCGCCTGCATGCTGGTACGGATAATATTTTTTATTGTTTTTTTTTTTTCTTTTTGGCTTTTAATGATTGCTTTTTCAAAATTTTGTTGTAGATGGACTTGCGATTTATTTTTTATGATCTTAACAGTATTCAAAAATTAACCGATATGAATTTCTTTAGGGTGGAACCTGGTGAGCCCGGTCCCAGGACCACCAGTGCACCTCCAGGTGACGTTGGTCAACCCGGCCTAAATGGTGAACGAGGACCACCCGGTGAAACTGGACCAGCTGGTCCAGCCGGTCCTCCCGGAGAACCTGGACCAGTGGGACCTCCCGGTCCACCTGGTCCTGCTGGACTTAAGGTAAGTGATATTTAATTAAAAATAATAATTTTTATTAAGAAGAATATTATGGATGAATCTCTAGAAAAATTGGATTTAATAAATAAAGGAATCTGTTGAACTCTTACAAGGATCTGGATTGAATCTTCTTCGAAAGTATTTATTCAGAAAGTATTTGTATTTGTTCATTGCCAATCCCAGGAGTAACAGAGATTTCTTATTGTTTGATCGAGTCTCTATTAGTTTCCTCTTAAATGTCCCACAGCTGTCCTTCTTAATGAAAATTCCTTAAAATATTTTTGCATTTAAAATGACCCTGATACTATGTGCCCATTCCTCCTTGTTAAATTACATCACTATTGTTTTGAAAAGACATTTTTTGTAATTCTCTCAAAAAAATAAACATTATGTCAAACTATGGCAATGTATTGTGCAAAAAAGGCAAAAACAAAACAAA